CAATTATGCAGATTCATTCATTCTCGCTAAAACTGGGCTGACAGCTGGAGTTACAGTGTTTCACATGCTTTATAGTTAAGAAATAACTGTGCAGTGATTAGGCAAATGAGACATAATCACTCAGGGAAATACATCATTTGGAAAAACCTGTACACATACACATCAGTAACTATATAGCATCTTGGCATTTTGACTGGTTGAGAAAACTATGTCAGTGTAATGGCTGGTACACTTAACAGAAATGAAATATTTCCTCATAGACAATGTTCCCTCTAATTTTTTCCATCCATGTGCAGAATGAATTTTGTTATGTGTAGCACTAATATGGAGGTAATGTGCAGATGTGCGCCACCAATACAAACAAATAAACTCTGGAAATTTCCATCACATGCGTCTGACGAAGTGGTTATTCACCCATGAAAGCTTATGCTCCAATACATCTGTTAGTCTATAAGGTGCCACAGGACTCTTTGTCGCTTTTTAAATAAACTAGATATATCACACCAAAATGTGGCATACTGAAAACAACTATATAAATAAAACAAAGTCATGGCCATTAAGTGAAAGTATAAAAAATATGCACCAGAGGCCCAATATAACAACCTACTCCACTAGACCACTAAATCGTCAGGGAAAGCTGCTCTCAAAAAATAAGCATCTCCCAAAACACTAGCATGTTACGGACTTTTGCAGGTCACAAAACTATCCCTCTTGCATACATATTATCTGCACACATAGCTCACTCAGCTTTAAGATGCTAAACAAATCTATGAGTCAACTAGAAATAGTCATGCTCTCATCACAAACATTAATACAATATTTTCTGATACCGGAAAGGAGAGTAAAAGGCATTCACTCAGGCTTATACAATTTCTCTGGCATGTCAACTCTTTGATTTGATTAATACTTCACACACATAGAACAGTAAAAATAAGTAATAAAACAACACAGACAGCAAACAAAACCACAGACAAACAAGTGACAACTCTGAAAAAGGAAGGGAAGTAAAACATCAGGTGGTTGGTTATGGGTATTTTAAATTAGTGTTTAGGACCAACACTGTGCAAGTGCAAGAGTCCTGTAGAAATAGGCAAAGTTCTCCTGGTTTCACATTGTGTGTGTCACCAATGAGTAGGCTCATTAAGTTTTTACAAGCCCCGGAGCACATTAACACATGGCTTCGGAGTTTGCAGATACCTGCTTCAAAGAGCTTGCAAATAAAGTCTTGATCCTACAAAACACCTAGCACCACACCTAGTGCTTGCTACTTATGAGTCAATGGGAGTACTCTGAAGAGACAGAACTATACCAAATAGCAAAGATCTGGCCTCCAAAAATCTGGTTTCCAATACCTCTCCACAAACAAATTCTAAAACTTAATGGAAATCACTTGTCTGGACAAGTGATTTCCTTTAAAGTTGTCTGGACAAGTGATTTCCATTAAAGTTTTAGAATTTGTTTGGTGAGAGTAGTCTCTGCCCTGCCACTGCAGCCACCGAGCTGGGGCTGGGAAGGAGGGGAGTCTCTCTCCTGCCGCAGTAGCCCCTGAGCTGGGGCTGGGAAGGAGGGGAGTCTCTCCCCTGCCATGGCAGCCCCTGAGCTGGGGCTGGGAAAAAGGGCCATCTCTCTGTGGCCACCACAGCCCTGCACGCTCCAAACTCCCCCCACCTCACCCCACTGCCCCCCCATCTATCCCCCTATTCCCCGTAAGGCCATCACCTCACCTTACATGTGCGCCCTCTCCAGGGTCCAGGCACCTAATTAGTGGAGCCACGCCTGAGCAGCTCCACTAATTAGGTGCGCATCCCTTGATGCCCTCTTGTGTGGCCACCCAGTGTGTTCCCACCTTAGAGGGAACATAGCTCACAGGACCCTTGATCCTCTATATTGTAGCTGGATTTTAAAATAATTAAATAATTTTATAATCAATAACGTATAGTGATGTACCAAATAGAGCTAATCATCCTAACTCTTGCTTTCACAGGTGTCAGGGAGGAATCTCCCACCAGTGTCCAGCCTGGTTCAAATATCCCAATATCCAGGAAATTTTTGGAAAGCGTAGGGGACAATTTCCTGGTGCAAGTGCTGGAGGAACCAACTAGGG